TAATCTTAACGAACAGGTAACGATTATCCAAATAAGAACTTAATCAAGAAATCAGGGGATCAGAAAACCCAGAGAATTCTTGTTTTTGGAGTAAAAGCTGGTGGTCAATTTTATCGACAAATCGGTATAAACAACGTCAACCTGACGTTGACTATGTAGTGCATCCCATAGAAACTGGGTAATAAGGTTTGTCTCAGTTGAATGCCATGCTGTTTAGCACTAAGCATTTGAAGTACATGATTTGTGAAAAAAGTGTGAATTACTATTTCAAATACCTTGGCAAAGTTGCACATAATGTCTATGGGTCTGTAATTTTCTATATTTGTTTGTTCACCATTTTTGTAAACTGGACAAATTCTTGAAATTTTCCATCTAGAAGGAAATGTGAATGATTAAGAATCATATTGAAAATATTAACTAATGATTTCACAAATACATTAGCACAATCTCGCACAACAAACGCTCGAATTTGGTCTGATCCACTGGTAGTTTGAGGTCTCAATTTTTTTAATCGCATTATACACACTTTCTTCGTTGATGCGCTTGACTTGTAAAACATTTTTATTTAAGCTGGAACAGTTTAGGTTAAGAATTGGATTTTTATTTACTTGGCAAAGTGATCTGCGAAACCGTTTACAATATCCCTAGGATCAGACAGGTTTAAATTAATATTATTATTATTATTATTATTACTTCACATTGATCAACAGGCAAAGCCCACTTACAGATCAACGGATCAAAGAAATTATGACTTAAAAATATAGATATAAATAGGAGTGGTTAAAATATTTACTGTTTTACTCATACAGTGTAATTAAAGCACTCACTAGAATTAGAAGAAATCATATATCATAATTTAAAATTATTTTAAGTTGCTGAACATTAGATTCAAAAATATCAACCTCTCTCTTAGTCAGTGAATAGTTGGAAATCATCTGATAGACTGGGGAACGTTTTAATATGTTTGTTCTAGCCGAGGGTAAATGAAATATATTGACATTTCTACAATTAAAAGGTGGTACTCTAATCATTAAGCTTGATAATGTGACACTGCTATCAATAATATTATTAAGAAGATGGTATAAAAATTTTACTGGGTAAAATCTTTTTCTGCTAGCCATAGTTGGTGGATCACCTGATGTAAAAGCATATTATGCGGATATCCTTGACAAGGATAATCCCCCGTGATAAAATAAATGTATGCCTTAGCAAACCGTCTTTGTATCTTTTCAATGCTTGAAATATATTTATTATAGAGAGGAGACCACACAATGCATGCATACTCCAACTGGGATCTTACTAGAAATTTATATGTGTCCGGATTGTTAAAAAGTTTGCTATTGCGCAACACAAAGCCAAGGGTTTTGTATGCAGTAGAAACTATACTTTCAATATGGTGGGTAAATGTAAGTTTGTCATCAAACAGCACTCCCAAATCTTTAAAATTATTAGATCTTGTTAGCAAAACATTACGAATTTTGTAGTCATATTCGGTTATTCGGGTATTCGTTTTTTCAGAAAAGGAAACGACAGGACATTTATCACGATTTAGGCTCTGATAATTCTCTAAGGTCCATTCTGTAACCATGTATATAAAATACCGTAGTTTCTTGCAGTCGTCTATATTGTTGATGGTACTATATATTTTTAAATCATCCACATATAATAAATTATGGCATTGGTGTTCATTTAATAATTCTGAGAGATCGTTGATATATACTACAAACAACAACGGGCCAAGGACTGAGCCTTGTGGAACTCCTGATAATTGTTTAAATAATGTTGATTTAAATCCCCTGTATTGTACATACTGAGACCTGTCTGTAAGATAAGAACAAAAAAGGGTAAGCAAGTTATTGGAAAGCCCAAAATTATCCAGCTTATCAACAAGTTTTAAATGGTCTACCCGATCGAAGGCCTTAGAAAGATCCATATACACTACGTCCACCTGATATTTCTGGTGAAGAATCTCACATAAAAATTGTGTAAGCGTAAGTAAATCGGTCACCGTCGATCTCTTAGCTATAAAACCATGTTGCCATCTTGTTATCCTTGTTGAAATATGGCTGTAAATTCTGTTGTGTAACACTATCTCAAATACCTTTGAAAAATTAGAAATAAGAGCTACCGGCCTGTAGTTAGCAATATCAGATCTATTCCCGTTTTTAAACACCGGTGTGACACGTGCAATCTTCCAGTGATTGGGAAACCGACTGGAACTAATAATTTTGATAAAAATTAACATTAACGCTTGTAACCAAATGTTTTTACAATGAGAAACGAACAATGATGGTATGAGATCAGGACCAGTTGTTAAACCAGGTTTAAGCTTAGATAGGGCCTTAAAAATCTCATCTTCGGATATATCTTGTACTAAAACAGAATTCTGATAAGAAACCTGACTACTAGAGGAGGCTTTTGTTGAAGTTGAAAATGAAGAAGAGAAATGCTTAGCAAAAGTTTCGACAATTTCTTGGGAATCTGAAATGTCCTTGTTATTAAATGTAATTACCGAGGGTAAAGACGTTGTTTTTTTATCGAATTTACATAAGTTCAGAAACATTTTGGATTAGATCTAATATCCTTATTTAGTTTACAAATATAGTCTTGTCGATCTAATTATATATCTATCACGTTTTCATTGAGAACATAGATCTTTGAATTCATTATAAAAATTTTGTCTACCATGTGTTTTATATTTATTCCAGGCCTTTAATTTCTTTTTCATTACTCGAATAATATTTTCATTAAACCAAGGTGGAAACGAACCCAACGAATTTAATTTTCTTGTAACATGCTTATCAAGTAGATTATAAATTTTGCTGTAAAAATTTTCTACCAAATCCACGTCAGCAGTATCATCAAGAAGAGGCCAGTTTACATAAACAAGTTCTTGGTATAACTGATAAAAATTCACATTTTTAAAATTATAGTCTAACGATTTTGTTGAAGAAAATTGTTTCTTTTGTTGATGATTTAAATCTTCAAGATTGATTTCAAGAGTCGGGTGATACTTATCTTTAGGAACTAGAGCATTACAAGCTTTTTCAACTCGACAATTCATGCTACATAGTACTAGATCAAGTAATCGATTAATGCAATTAACAACTTCATTAAATTGTTGTACATTAAAGAAGTGTGTAAAATTATTATAAGCTGTAAAAATCGAGGAATTCATGTTGTACTGTGACCAATTAACAAAATCCGGTAAATTAAAATCTCCTATTAAAATTAAATCTGCATCATAAAAAGAAGTCATTGACATAAGATGTTCAAAAAAGTTAAAGTAACAGTCCGTATTACATGATGGAGGAATATGAACAAGACATACAAAAAGTAATTTAGATTTGTTCAATATTTTAACTATTACAGACAGTGGCGGAACAAGCATGAAATTCTAGGGTGGGCCAACGGTTGGGCCCTCAAAATCTTAATTGGGCACGCATTGCAATGTTATATGTATAACAGCATAGAAGTGACTTACCCCTAATGAAGTAATATTCGACGATTGTTGTGAGCAGCATCGAATTCTTTAACAATATCTTCGATGTTTAAAGATTTTGCCACGGTAGATTCGACGTTGGTCACAGCAAGATGAATTAGTCTTTCATTGGTCATAGGATTACGCACACATGTTTTTAAACGTTTTAAAGTGGAAAAAGTACGTTCACATGCAGCACTGGATACTGGAATTTTAGCACTAATAACCGCTAGTTTGTAAGTTTCAATAAATGCAATTTTATAAATTTTTAACATGTCTAAAAGGTCCATTATTGTCGTGATTTTCACGTTTTTTTCATTTTCATACATTGCCAACGCTGTTGGACGTATCATAAGTTCTGATTTCAACAAATCCAAATTACTTTGATAAAAAGTGGCTAAAGGAGTTAAGGCGTCAAAATTTAGAAATAAAGTGTTGCTAGGATGCAAAGCTGCAACATCATCTGTGGGCACCGGGTTCATTTGCGGGGACTAAAAAACTGTTTTCGAGATTTTATTACAAAACAAGTTAAAAATTTACACCGGTATTCCTAGAAAAATTGAGGTGGGCACTAGGATGGGCCGCAAAGTTTTTGGTTGGGCCATGGCCCACCCTGCCCCCCCCTCAGTTCCGCCACTGATTACAGAGTCTATTGATGAGGTATATGTGTCATAGGTATTTTGCCCTGATAGAGCGTTTGGTAGCCAGTAAAACTCCACCACCTCTCTTATTTCCTGATGATATGACTTCGCGATCAGATCGAAATACTTTATATAAATTATCATCAAAAAGTTATTATTAACATTTACCACATTATTACACTGTCTTAAGTCATAGAATGAGATGAAATTAGCAATGTTTTGATATGGAATTGATGCTATACCACATTTGCTGCGCATTGTGTAAATTCTGAACAATTGAAATCCCCAAGAACAATTAACTGACACTCATATAAACAGGACATGGCTTCATTTATGGGCTTCATTATCAAGCAGGGTACCACTACATTTCTAAATGATGTTTAAAGAATCAACTAATGATCGTATGTTGCTAAGTTCATTAGTGAACCAGCGGATTTTTTATTTACCGATGACATATATGATGTTGATGACATATATGCCTAAGACAAAGCACTGGAAAACTATCGTAATATACTCGCAAAAGCATTTCAAAAAATTTGTTTAAAGTGTGTCTCTGCATTTACATTACAGTTATAAAAATCCTCCAGATCAAGATCTGCAAATGTTTGATAAAATTTACTTAATTCAGAATGGGTAATTGTTCAACGTTTTACGTAAACACAAGTTTAGTACTGGAGCAACAACTAGTGTTTTCAGATTTTGAGGTTATTCCTAGGAGACAATAAAATTCACATTTGTATGGGTCTAGGACAATTTAAATTGTTGGTGTTAGAAATTTTAATAAATATTATACACCAAGTGAATCAAACATACGTTTATTCACGAGAAGATGTTGATATCACGAGCACGCAGTGCGAGTGAGATCATTTCTTCCAGTGAATAAATATGTTTGATTCACGCGGTGTATATATGTTTTTATTCCATTTTGACAATTTAAACTGACTTTATTAACTCCATAGTAACCTTCATAAGGAGCAAGGCCAACTGAATCCATGACGCTTGGCGCGTCATAAGGCCAAGTCACTCGGCTTTTGAAAGATTATGACAAGTTTAGAAAGTGGCGTCACCTTGTGAAACTTTTAATGATTACGATTATCATCAGCGTCACTCTAGTCACGCTCACGACCTTCTCTATTAACTACGGCCTGCTCAATCGACCTGAATTTCATTGTTTTTTTGATTCTGAGAAAACGCAAAATGTCGCCACTTTGGCGCCACTTACCCGTTAACCGTCAATTAATTTTAGACCATCAACTGTCAGTTTATAGGTTAACAAGAATTAGGAAACACTGGAAATTTTGATTTAAATTTATAATAGATGAAACCATTAAGCTACATGTGTACTTCAGAGGGCGTTTGCGAGAAATAATTCCAAAATCAGCCCGTAAAGCCATGGTTGGGCCTGCCCTCAACGTGGGTAAGGGTATCGTTTTTACCTAGTTTTTCCGAGTTTGTGAGCGACTCCCACAATACGAACGCATTTCGAAATGCGAAAATGATCTCCGATAAGTATGTTTTACGTGTATTTTTTTCGTAATAATTCAATTCATTGTAATAATAGACCTCTGAAATTTGAAATGACAACTTATGATTAAAGATGGTATAAAATCAAAATCAGAACTCTCGTGAGGTAAGTTCCCCATGAACGCGTATTTGCGAAGTGCGAATGTCGCCTATCTCCATTCGACCAATGAAATCCAAGAAAATTTTGTACGCGCGTATCCAAGGTCACTTCGCTTCGAGTTGATTTTACTTTAACTCATGGGGGTGTCACTCGAATACAAATTTAGGAAGCAAGCCTCAGCGCCCTCGGTGTCGAGCTGACCAAGTAACGAAAAACGCGCACTTTTGAAAACGTTCAAATCATCCAATGAGAGTGCGATGCCGTTAGCTGGCATCAGCTGGTTTTGTGGCGTGCGTACGTGCGATTAAAAAAAGCCGCTGCTATGAAAGTGTAAAATCGTGCAGCGAAAAAAGCCGGACTGAGGTAAGTATTTAGAATAGGAATATACTTATTAATAGTTCTATTTTAGGCATTCCTTACATCTCTCGAACATGGAGACACCACGCCGTATTGCATATCGATGTAAATATCCAAACTGCGGAAATGTGTTCTACAAGGGTGGTGGTAATGACCTTAGATTTTACCATTTTCCAAGAAATGTGGAAATGGAGGAACTTTGGAGACAAATTTGTAAAATTGATGCAAGTAAACCGTGTAAGTCCTTATACTTGTGTAAAAATCATTTTCAATCGACAGATTTTCAGGATCCATTAAATCGAAACAGACTGTTGCCTAATGTGGTCCGAAAGGAATATGTCTCCAAAGAGTCCATGAGCAGTCAAGTGGTTGCAGCGGAAATTTACACTCAGTTACTGTGGAATTCGTAGCTAGTTGCTCATTTTCTGCTGAAACAGACTTTTCTACCGTAGAAGAAAGTAACGTTTGCTTAGAGGAACTTGCTTCAGAGTTGTAGTTCGCCTCCTCGTGGTGCACCTTGGGTAACGCTAAATGAATTGGCACATATCGATATTGACAGAAATATCTCGTCAAGTAAGTGGACTATTATTGTTTTCAAATTTCCAAAATTGTTTGTTTAGGTACGCAGTTGTTCATTTTCCTTACAACACAATCTGACAGGAGGGATGATAACCCTAGAAGCTTTACATTGTGAGTTACATATCTTTCTCTTATTATTATTGTATCTAATATTTGTATTTCTTGATTTGTTTATTTTATATGTATTTAGATGTATGATAATAAATAGGTTACATTACATTCTGTATACTTTTTGTAATTTCATATGAGAATTTACATTAAAATAACCCGCAAAAGTAGGTGGTTGTCTACACAGGAGTAGGTGGTTGCCTATACAGAAGTAGGTGGTTGCCTATACACAAGTAGGTGGTTGCCTATATGGAAGTAGGTGATCCGCGTATTCAAATTTACGCGCGTATAGTATAGTTGGCCAGCTGCACACCGAGGGCGCAAATTTGTTTCCATCGTTAACAACGTAGGTATCATTTCTTATATTGAAGTTCTGTGCTTTAACTTTTACGCGTAGAAAAGAGGTGCTACGGCGGTCAAATTCGAATGGTTTGCAAACATAACCTCAAATATTTTTCCGGATCAGAATCTCTCATTGTGTGTGACAAATTTGCACTGGCCCCTTGCAATAATCGGTTTGTTACAGTAAAAATAGGTCGCACCCAAAACTGTCTTTCATTCGCTTTCTTTGCTTCCAGATACAAGGCGTACACTTTAATAATTTTTTTTTCGTAATGCTATCCTCCTTACTTTATTTTTCCTTTTTCGGTATATAAAACATAATTTCGTGATGAGTTCTTGACACAGCTCTACTGCTACTTTCTTATTATATTTCCCCATTTCGAATTACATATGAAAGTAATGACAGATCTGATAACAACTTGGTTATATTTTGAGGTTATATTAACTTATATTTTATGCTACGCTTTTACGCGTTTTACGTTTATACGCACGCAATGGGGAAGCTATGTTTAAATGCAAGCTTGCGAATGCCAACGATACGCGTACGCAGATTCGCAAAAACGCGTAGATGGGGAAGCGGCCTGAGAGTTGCGCTCCAATGGACACGTACCCTTACTGCCCATTCACAATGGACATAAGACATAAGAACGAGCGCATAACATAATTTACGTTTTTGGTTTGTGTCTGGCTTATGTTTATCTACGTTCACAGTGGACAGAGTGAACTCTGTAAGAATTATTAAACTGCGCAAACGCAGAACGGAATAACTCCCGGCTAAACATAGAAACGGCTAACCTCAAACTGAGTCAATCCATTGATGTGGAGGTATGGATGGCGCGTTCACCTAGATTAGCATGACTGTTATTGAATCCAACCAAAGAGAGAGATGGGCTGTTGTGAAGTCACATACGTGCGCAAAGGAGAGTAAATTTGACCACGTGACGAGGGGAATAATTAAGCGCAAAACCATTACATTAAACGATGTTATTAAATAAAATGCATATAAAAAATGATGTCGGAGAACTTATATCTGTTTGAGTATTAGTAGTACATTAAAAAATGTAGTTTGAATGAATATGAATAGAACATTGTTAAAATAATTTACCTATATATAAAAAAAAATGTTTTTCAACTTCAAAGGAATTGTAAGGAATTAGAAATTTATAATTAATTAGTGATTTTTCTTCAAACGTCAAAAAAACGTTAATTTTTATTATACTCATTAAATGAAGACAAATAACCATTTTTAATCAAACACTCTTCACCCACACACAAAAAAAAAACCGCCGTTTACCAATGAGTGCACGGTATGTAATTCTTCAAATGGCTGTTTTGAATATTTGAGAAATAGAGACCAAAGAAGGTTCTTACTAATGTCAAGTATTTAATTTTCATGTACATACATTCTAAAATTTATTAAATGCTTTTATCGGATTTTCGACGTTTGAAAAAAAAATTGTTTATTTTATTCGGAGACCACTTAATTTTTGGTGGCGTGCCTGAAAGTTTGATAGCTGAGCCTGTTTCTGTAATAAAATAACAAGTCCCCCTAATGGCGGCAGAAAAGTATTTTCCTGATAGGCAGAAAAATACACTCTCAAAAAAAATTAACACTTGATTTTGCAAATTAACTATGAGTGAGTTTCGGTAAGCGACTGTAGCGTTTACATCAGAGTAAAATAAAGATAAAACGATCAAAAACTTTTTTTTTTTTCAAAGTTCTTTTTAACAAGGTGACTCGGAAAGTTAAAAACAGAAGGGATCACATCTTTTTTCAGTATTTTTCTCCCAAACTGATGTATAAAATCGTTAGGAGAAAAATGGCCACTACAAATTGCTGCAGAACTACCTGGTGTGTAGTTTTTTCTTTTCATGGCAATTACCCTTTTTTTTTTTTTAATTCAGCATCCTTTGGGAAGCTGAAAAATAACTATTGTGTATGCACATCCAGGCAAAGTGGTAAAAAAATACCAGCGGAAGGAAATGCCGCAACCTTTTTTCACTCTATTATTGCAGCCGTAAGCAGCACTAGACTTCACTATTTTCGTATGTGGATTTTACGAATTAAAGAAAGTAAAATGTACAATCATACCCAATATTTATTTTTAGTTGTCATTCATTACATGCAATACTAAACTGTTCTTTAAAAAACCAAACTTATCTCGTAACTATCATAAAAAAAATTAAGTTCAACTAACTAAAACTATTATTAAACACTAGAATATTAAAATGTTTTAAAAATTGTCTAAAACAAGTTCCAAATTGCACAAAAAATCATCAAAAAGCAACTAAAACCACTAGCACAACACGTAGCGTAAGCACACAAACGATGAAATATGCCCCTGATCAGCTGATTTTGCGTCTTCCCTCTCTCTCTTTGATTGGAGTCAATGTCAGGGCTATGAAAGTCTCAGCTGACTCCATAAGAAATACATGGGGAGCTTACGGAACGACATAAAGAGGTCACTAGCGTCACTAAAGGTGCTCCGACCTTGAAGAACATAGTTTCTTTTTCATTTTCAGGTTTTCGGTGAACGTTTTGTCTGGTTTTGTCAACAAGAAATGTCATATTAATTACGGAATCATACGGGATGTTGGGTTATGGGGTTAAAAACAAACGTAAAATTTATGTTAACAAAGTAATAGATACTTACGATACATGTAAAAAATACTAGAAAATTCCAGGCTAAAGAGGTCAACAAACTGCAGGTTAAACGAAATAGTTTAATTTTCGATGTGTGCGTGTTTGAGCGGTCCAAGATTTATTTTTAAATTTTAGTGTGTAAAAAATTCTAACTAATAAAAACTGAAACGAGGTAGTCAAGAGGAAAGTCTTTGCAGGGGTGATGGAATGGTATTTTTGTGTGGTTCGTTTTTTAGCCGCAAACCAGTTAACGACTACGGTGCATAAATTGGGAAAAACTCACAAAATGTATTACCCATTACCGGAATATAAACTGCAAAATGTTTAGGTGGCATCATTAAATCGCCAAAAATCACATCTTCATTGAAGACTTTAAAATGTCACACAATTAAAACAGGATGTACCACTTCGTAAGAATGTGCAAAGTTCACAACAAACTTCGCAGAAGTGGTGGTGTAAGAATTTTCGTATTAATGAGTATCCACAAACATACCATAAACAGTTGTGTTCTTTCAAGGTGAGTTTCCGGTAACTCACATCACTTAATGATTGTTGAAGAGGCTGGAATACAGGGGAGATGTGTTGTGGAAGTTTGTTTAAAAGAACACCTTAGCAAATTTTTCATTTCAAATAAAATAGTGTTTCACAGTTGGTTCTTGCACTCGTATCGAAATAATCTGTAGTAAATAGTTTCCGAAACACACTTTGGAATTGTACTGATGTGGGATTTATACAATTCCAAATTGACGTCTCACAGAGCCAAACAAATATGTCAAACAATACTGATTTAGTTGCAGCAACCTTTTAGTGAAAATTGTAAACAAATTGTATTCTGTGAAAACTATTAAAAATAATAAGCAAAATGTTTATGTTCCTGAAGTTGTTTTTTATTTTTTTGTGAGTGATTTAAAAATATTAAGAGTGAAATAAAAATTTTGCAATTCACTTGTGGATAACAACTTATTCGTCAGACTTGTTAAGGATTTAATAAACGCAGTTTAAAACGTCAAAATTGAATAAAATCTTTTGCTTGAATATATTAATAATTTATAAGAAAGAAAAAAATGGCCAATGACACTAGTACATGCTACCCATTTTTATTTTTGTGTACAATTATTATTAGTATTATATGAATCACATACGAATGCTACGAAATATTTAAATCTTCGTGTTTCCCGGGAACGGGCTCCCAAGGTCACACCCGTTCCGCAAATATTGCTGAAGTTTCGTTACTGATCTACTGTGTCAATGTCGAATGCAAACGCGCCATCCATACCTCCACATCAATGAGTCAATCAAAATATCTAACCTACAATTTCATACGATATTCGAACTTGACAACTCGCAGTACAGAACAGACTCGCAGTGTGAAGCTTTGACTATAATTTATATAATATAATCAAAGGTGTGAAGTGCCAAGTGCCAACTGTCAAAGGGAATTCAATAGCAGCATTCAAAAGTCCCTAGATTTTAACATAATTTTGACATAATTCGTGCACAAAGTTGAACTTGTTTCAACTTTGTGTACGCACACAAGGATTACATAAAACGTTCATAAGCATAAGAATTACGTTCGTCCACTGTGAACAGGGGTACACGTTTTCCATCGTTTCAACTTTATGTATTTATGTAAGCTTTATGTACTTGTTATGCCTTATGTCCATTGTGAATGGGCAGTTACTTCTAGAGAGACAGAATGTGGTGAATAGAATCAAGACGTTAACATTTACTTTTCCTAATTCGGAAAATTATTTAAAAAGAAAATGGTTGGCTGCACTAAAGAGAATGATTTTTGAAACTTCTGCTAACCAAAGCGTATGTTCTACATTGGTCTACAGTTATTGTAGTTGATGATAATTATTAAAATACAGATCATCAGTTAATGCATATTATCTTTCACTGTGCGAATTCTATTTTAGCGAAGCAGACATTGAAACAAGCTATTTTCATGAGAGGTCTGGACAGCTTCTTTAGTTCATCCACAATCGAAGCAGGGTGAAAATAGCTGTTACATACAGAATCAGTTTATAGAAGCGAAACTACTAAATTTGGTAAAACTTTACAAAAGGCACTTCTCGATTTCGCACAAACTGTTTGTAGGTTTGGCAAAATTTGTACACGGAAACTACCATAAATAACGTGGGAATAGCATCACGTTTCAGCAATTTTCTTCCTGATTCAGATGCTTTAAAACATGATTTCAGGAAATGTAAACTGCAAACAACCGTTTTGTCCGATAATCTTGGGCACTCATCTACAATTTTTCGTATTCAGAAGTGTCTTTTTTAATAAAATATGTCAAACTTTATGCAAACAAAAATAGGTACTTAATAAAAATATTTATTGAAGATTTACCGGTATTAGGATATATTTTTCCCAACCATACTTGTCTTAGCTTAAAATTAGAGGGAAACTCATGAAAGGATCTTGAAGGATCTGTGGAGAAACACGACGGAACACAACAAAACGAATAAGGCATTTTAAAATGCGAAACACAACACAAAGCACTAAAACAAACGTAAACAAAAACAAAACGAAACGGCGATTGTAAATCTCGGATCTATTTAAGCCACAAATAAACTAAAACAGATTAGACACAAGAGACACGTTGAGGAATGACAAATACTCCTGTCACAATTTTTGAAAATTATCTAGTAGTAGGCAGGTGTCTTTTTTGGCGTTTAACGGGTAAGTGGCTCTACGCGGAGAACACGAAAACTAGACGATTGAGCAGGCCGTAGTTAATAGAGAAGGTCGTGCTCTAGTAAACATTTTGTGTCACTTACTGTCATTCGTTTTTTTCAAAATTCAAAGTACAGGAAATATTACCACAAACAAAAGAGAATGGACAAAAATAGAATAAAACTGACAAGAATTAAGTAAATTATTTATACTTTTAAAATTTTTCTGCTTTGAGGTTTGTGATCTAAAATTAGTTTTCTTTTTAATGAATCCGTCTTTTCTAGGCAAATGTTCGACAGAACTGGTTTTGCGATTATTGTCAAAACCATAATGCAGATCTCATTTTGGTGCTGCCTACAAACCAATAAAGAATTCTTTTGTAAAGTGGGCTGTAAAATCTTGATCAGTTGACCGCATGTTTTTTCTTTTTTTAAATAAGGTAAAATGTCCTGTATTACATCGGCGATTCTTTTTACAAGCCCCACAAAAAGTTCATTCGGATACACTAATCCACCATGACCCTGAAGAGTTATTAATTTCAGGAGAGGTCCAGGCATTGTAGTTGACACTAATGGAGCAATGCAATCATCACATTGATATATTTTTTGTAATTTCATTATTATGTATCCGGATAAAAAGGCTACTGATGCAGAATAGAGATTCATTTCAGGTATTTTATTTCTTTGTAAGGAATGGATTTTAAAGCGTAAATTCATCAACTGTTGATTTTTGATGGGAGAGTTCATTGCGGCTAATGTGACTTAAAGTTCTTACAGTGTTGGCAGATGACGAAGATTTTAGAATTCCAGTTCTTAGAATTTGACGTAAGGCATATTCAGCTGCACGAGCGTCAGTAGCATCATTTGAGCCTCCTTTTAAACGAATATGCGAAAATGTCGCTTCCACAGCATCTGAACTAAATGAGCGAGTTAACACATAATAAAATCCAGCTTGTGTCAGAAGAAATTGGACACATAAAAATGTACTCTTTGCAATAAATTTTAGAGCATGTGCTGTTTCGCTGCTTAAACATTTATATCCTGTGCTGGCTGAAGTGGACTGGATATCATCTATGTAATTTTGGAAAGTAGTATTCAACCAATGGAGGCGTTGATCTGAAATGTTTACATATGGGGCAACGTTGCTATCTAGTGCATGAATGTAATGTCTTCTACTTGAGATGTTATGGACTTGAAAAAAAATGGAACATATTTTCCATATACAAAATTACATTACAAAACTATCAACAAAGTCTTCATATTTCTCTTCTTTTAATAATTTTAGTGCTGAGGTAACCGTTGGGGAAAATATCTGCACAGCCCGCAAAACATTCATTTTTCAAGATTTGAAGGATATAAATGCTTTTTTGTAAGATATCTGACGGGTTTCAAAGGCCATCCTCTTTGCAAACCGTATAAGGCCTTTAAATAGGACGAGGAGATAACACCGGTTGTCGAATTCATATTATGACTTAAAAAAAGGTTCCTGGCATTTTTAATGGCATGGCAATAGTCAAACGATAAAAATATGGGCATAGGAAGATATGGGTGATTAAAATAATTTTCCAGAGTTCCTCCACACAAGTTCTTGAACAAAGCCACATTGGACGGATGGTTATCTGTTACAATGCGTAACACCATAAAACCACAATCTGTGAGAAGTTTAATAACTTGCAAAGTTAAAGAATGAAAATCAGAGGCCGGCATTGAAGAATGGAAAAAGTACCCAGCTACAATAGTAAAGGATGCTGACAGACCATTTTCTACAAAACACGCCATTTTATTTGCAACTTTGGGATGTTCTGTGATAGAATTGGAGTTAATGGTTTCAAGACCATAAATATAATCTTCTGTTCTACTGTAATACATTTTTTATTTTATTGACATGTCGTCAATAATTAACGAACATAATCTTTGAACGGGGTGCTTCAAATTCGCTACTTCTGCGCACAAACGTTCCTTGATTAAATTATTTTGTCCATTAAAATTACCAAGGTGTCTAACTATCGTCGATCTGGATGGTAATTTAACTAAATTTTTATGGCAAAAATCATAACCCTTGGGTGAACAATATCTCCACACCGTACAGAGACGAACAGACAATTCGGACCATCTAGGAGATTTCTTGTTATAGTTATGAAGATCTAGTAAAAATATGGCTTTTTCATCTGAATTCTCAGCATCAGTGTAAATTTTTTCGAGTGCTTCAATGCTTTGTGAATGTTTTTTCAACTTGTTTTCAAAGTTTTTAAGTTTTGCAGCACAGCGGGCATGCGATCTCTTTTCATTTTGCAGTTCCAAAGTTAAGGTGTTATATTTTTCTCGTAAATCTGCAATTTCATCAGAAGATTCTGCTGATGGTGGAAGTTCACAAACGATTTCACAATTTTCTACAGGGTAGGGGGCATTGGATTCAAGGTTGGATGTGCGGGAAGAGGATCGGGCAGGATCCATATACTTTAACAAAAATATTTATTTAACAGTTATGTCAATCAATTTAAATAAAAAATAAAGTAGGTGTGCTTACAACTATGGTAGGTACAGATCCTATTATTAAACGCTCTCCTCCAAGAACTTTTTTAAAACATTTTTCTTCGAAATGTTTTCTGCAAATTACAGTGTAGTCTGTAATTTGGAATGAATCTACAAATAAAAAAGGGGATATTTATGTCTTAAAATTAATTTTATATAGATGAAACACTCACCATAATGCTTTTCAAAAAACTCTAGCCATTGAATTCTAATTTGTGAATTTTGTGGTATTTCACACAGTGGTAATATTTTATTCTTACAAAGAGCACAGCATCTACCCATTGTTACAAATAAAAATAATATATAAGTTCAATAATAAACGGAACAATGATTAAAAAAACCCACAAGGAACCGAACAACAAAACACAACTGAATATAATAAAATTAATTAATCAAAAACGAGAAAATGGAGAATAATAATAAATAACCGAACCAAGAAACGAGAAATTATTAATAAGCGACAAAGAATTAGGTTTCGAAAATTAATTGACAGTATGACTTTTATAAATCTGTTTTATTTTCACTAATAATAGGAGTAATAGACAACAATCATTAACAATAGTAAAAAAAAATCGTGGGAGTCAAAACCCTTCGCATTTGAGTTGGGAAGTTACGGTTTTATACTGGTTTTTATGACTGGGGATAGAGGACACCACTTTCTAAACTCCAAGGCTTGCTTCGTGAAAACCTCATTTTTTGGGGAGTGACTTGGCCTTATCACGCGCCAAGTGTGATGGATTCAGTTGGCCTTGATAAGGAGTTCATGATTCACTAGTGAAATTAAAGCGTTTGAATTCACTAGTAGAATCAAAGCGTTCAGTGAATTAAAAAATTTCAATTAAGAACAGATTTTTATTTCTTCTCCAAAAATATTAACATTGAATTAGTCTTTGTCAAAATTACTTTTTGCAGTAAATATTCATCATCAGAAGCATTATCTAAAAACCTTTCCATTTCTTCGAGCGTGAACACTTTGGATTTCTTTGGTCTGTGCCCTACAGACTGTTGTTTTAGGAAAGCTGACACTTGATGAAATCTATAATAATGAATATTTTAAACCTTATATTAATCATTGCGATGTCACAAACCTGCTTATATCAATATTTTCCTTCACAGATAACATCTTCTTCAGTTGGGAATAATACGACCATAGTGATGAAGATTTAGCATTTTTTGACCGTTCCGAAATATAAGCCAAAATTATTCTTTCATCTGCTCCTTTTGCATGCTTTCGTTTCCTCCATTCACAAAAATTCGTATACTCTTTTTCATTTGAATGCTTGGATTTTGCTGGCACCACCTTATTGATAGCTTCCAAAACTTCTTCTAGGACTGCTGAGGGTACAAACACTTCGTTTTCGTCTTTATCTTCCAAAATTCCAGACATTTTTGTCTAGGAAAACACAAATGCCGCCAGTGTCACAAATTTAGAAAAATGTAAACAACTGGTTGTTAAGCTGGTTGTCACGAAAATTAGTTTCGCAGTTTACACGATTTCTCGATTCGAATTTTTATTTATTGAAATTTTATTAATAAAATTCGTCAAAATGGAATAAAAACATATACACACCGCGTGAATCAAACATATTTATTCACTCGAAGAAATGATCTCACTCGCACTGCGTGCTCGTGATATCAACATCTTCTCGTGAATAAACGTATGTTTGATTCACTTGGTGTATAATATTTATTATTCCATTTTGACGAATTTTATTAATAAAATTTCAATAAATAAAAATTCGAATCGAGAAATCGTGTAAACTGCGAAACTAATTTTCGTGACAACCAGCTTAACAACCAGTTGTTTACATTTTTCTAAATTTGTGACACTTGCGGCATTTGTGTTTTCCTAGACAAAAATGTCTGGAATTTTGGAAGATAAAGACGAAAACGAAGTGTTTGTACCCTCAGCAGTCCTAGACGAAGCTTTGGAAGCTATCAATAAGGTGGTGCCAGCAAAATCCAAGCATTCATATGAAAAAGAGTATACGAATTTTTGTGAATGGAGGAAACGAAAGCATGCAAAAGGAGTAGATGAAAGAATAATTTTGGCTTATATTTCGGAACGGTCAAAAAATGCTAAATCTTCATCACTATGGTCGTATTATTCCCAACTGAAGAAGATGTTATCTGTGAAGGAAAATATTGATATAAGCAGGTTTGTGACATCGCAATGATTAATGTAAGATTTAAAATATTCATTATTATAGATTTCATCAAGTGTCAGCTTTCCTAAAACAACAGTCTGTAGGGCACAGACCAAAGAAATCCAAAGTGTTCACGCTCGAAGAAATGGAAAGGTTTTTAGATAATGCTTCTGATGATGAATATTTACTGCAAAAAGTAATTTTGACAAAGACTAATTCAATGTCAATATTTTTGGAGAAGAAATAAAAATCTGCTCTTAATTGAAATTTTTTAATTCACTGAACGCTTTGATTCTACTAGTGAATTCACACGCTTTGATTTCACTAGTGAATCATGAACTCCTTATGAAGGTTATAGTCTAAGAGCCAGTGGCCGGCTACCTGTATGTAATTGACCAGACCTCGAATTTTGTACAGAGAGTCTCCTCGATCCAACATACAAGGACTGACGACTCACTAAGCCCAACGCGGCTGGCGTAGCTGGAGCTCAGGTACGCCAGGTATCAAAAAATGACTAATTTTAAATGCATTTGACCATGTCTGCCATTTGGAAATTTTAAAATATATGTTTATTTTTATTAAAAAATAACCATGGGAGACCATTATCACGCGTCTAACATCGTGGCAGACAATTTTGAAAGTGCCAAAAAATATAAAATTTTCAAACTAATTTTGACCAAGTCTGCCATTAATCTATTTTGTTGATTGTAGTCTTAAAATATTATATTTATCACGGCAGACGTTTTTATTGAGTACCTATACACTTCAGCAGATAACAAAATCTTAACTACTACCTGAGCAGATATATAAAAATGACGCATTATATATTACATTTATTTCATCTGCTTGAAATTAAATTTATTGTTGTTTTTAAAAATTGATATTTGATTGTATAATATCATTAACAGTTCAATAAGAATGACAGTTTCGAAAGTTCAAATGTATCAGTTGATTACCGACAAATGATACATACCATTTCATCACTACACCAATGTTTAATAAAGAAATCAATGACAGCTTCTTTAAATTTCGTATTTTTTATCTCTTTTGTAAAATCTGATGGTCGTACCTGGCCAGGCCCAGAAGTTGTGAAATCAATTAACGATGCTTCATGTCGTAGACTTCTTTCATTTTCTTTTATAGATGGATGCAAATATTGGTCGAAAATTACGTCGATTCTTCGTGCTAGATATTTTGTTATCATCTGCAAAAATTTTTTGGAAATATTTCATAATATTTGGTTTTTTGACAATTTTACAAATACTACCATCTAATGACATAAAGCTAGAGGTGCAGGAGTTATCGGATACGATATGTGAATTCCTACAGAAATATCAATTTTTAAAAACAACAATAAATTTAATTACAAGCAGATGAAATAAATGTAAGATATAATGCGTCAATGATTTTGTTATCTGCTGAAGTGTATACTTTAAGATTAAACGACTTACCTTAAGGAAGTTCAATCGTAATTATATGAGTAGTTACGTCGTAGTAGACCACTTTGTAGTTACGCCACTGGCGGGTGTTAGTGCACTAGTTGACAGCTCAGAACAAAATTCCCTATACGGACTCGGCCTGGTACCGCCATCAACGTTTTCGAAATACGTGAAAATGTATAGATCGCTTAACGGGGTAAGCCCAACATTGACGGGTCGGGAGGGTTTGGTCTACTACGACGTAACTACTCATATAATTACGATTGAACTTCCTTAAGGTAAGTCGTTTAATCTTAAATTATATTTCGTAGCTACGTCTTGTAGACCACTTTGTAGATGTTTAAAGACGGAGGCGATCTATGCGTTAGGTGAGAGAAGAGTACTATCGTGGATGTATTAAGGAGTTTTTTTACCTAAACTCAAATCCATACGGTTGTAACCACTCCCTAGTGTAAATTTTAAAAAATTATTCAGTGTAAATCTGTCTTTTGGTAACCTGGTGACATATCTGGTGACCTGTCAATATAATGTCAGTTCATTCCTGTATTCGCGACATATGATTACGTTCGACTTCACTGCAATTCTTGCACTCCAGCACAGGTTATTTCATAATTATCATTGTAACTTGTCGCAATATTGTAAAAATTGATAAACAATTTTCAGTAAAAACAGGATAACCTGAGTCTTCATGGTAATTATGATACAAAAGCAACGAAAAATAGAAACGTGCTTTATTTTTCATCTGTAGAAAGAAGAATGCCACCTGCTGTAATTTAGACTTGCTGTCGATACGTTTACGAATTACGCTAAAATGAACCCAAAAATATTGTGGTCACGAATGAAATCAAATATTGGATTGGTAAAAAAACAAGGTGAATTGATTTATTTATTGTTGCTGCTTCATAAAAATTACTTTACAGATGGGGAATAACTGAGATATTCAGAATTTGTTTAAATTATTGTACATGAGTATACGTAATAATTATATGTGTGGCTAACTATGATATGATATGACTCGAAGGACCAGCTCTCTCGACTGAAATGATCAATCTCGCGAGCAACACCAAAATTGTCTATAATGGGTAGATCACCTTAATTAGCCGCAACGGATGACCAATTTTTCATCAAAAAAAAATGGGACACCAACAAGTCTTTAATGTTATGTTTAATAACTCTAGTATTTGGTACTACTTATTATTTACAAGATGTAACTTCACAAAATTCAGAGGCTAAAATAATCAGTATGTTGAAAATAATTTGACGGCTTATTTAAACTTACTGTTACAGGAGTGGTTAGAAACATTGGGAACACATAGACCAAATAGCCAAAAAGCAATTATTTTTCTGTTGTTAACTTTCTTAAATCTGAATCCCATGGATTTTAATACTCGATGTAAAGTATTTAAACTTGCTGTATATTCTGGATGTTCTTTCGCAAAAATAAACAAATCCTGAAGAGTAAAAAACTCATTTTTTTTTTTGTTTTGGTGAAATATACAGTAGGTTAGATCTTCTTTAAATTCCAAATTTGAATACCACTGCGATTTTTGTTTTGGTTTCCACTTGCTTCTTGTAACGGTTCTCCAGACTGGTGTTGGGTTATAATTTTGTGGGCCTGACATCGGGAACACTATGGAAAGGATAGGAATTAATGATAAGTTTACAGGGAAAGTATGCAGTGCTTGAATTTAATGAGGGACATTTAGTTGTATTGTGTAGGATATAAAGAGTGGGTACAAAACCTGAAAAGACAATGTTGTACTAAAAAGTGATATACACTTTCAACTTGAGGTAGTTAAAACTAAAAGTCCCTCGACAGACCACCATGTTGTAATAACATAAAAAAAGTTCCGAATGTCGATACGTTACTCTCATAGTATAGTACTCTCTTTCCATGGTATAAGAATAACTACATACTGAAAAGATTTTTACAAGCTTGAATTCAAGTTCTCGGGAGGATGCTTGGGGATAAGCAAGTTTCAATTCATTGTGGCAGTTGGCAAGTGCCATTTTCATCTGCTTATTTATCACAATATGCCATGTTGGTACCATTTTTCAATGATTTGGTTATAACAAACTGTGATATATTTAAATAAAACTCTCTCGTGCGTAATTGTCAAATTTTGACACATGCGCCGTTACCAATCTGTTCATGTGAAAAACACCATTGGCTGTAATGCCAGCCTTACAATTTAACGAGTGGTTACAATCTTATGGATTTAACTGTAATTTATTTGTGTAGCAAAACAGATGTATGAATGACAAGGAATAATTAACAATTTTATCTACGTTAAGTTTTCGCTGTCGGAAAACGGTTTTAACACAGTTTCGGCAAAAGTGTGTGTGTTTGAAAGAGGGTGTGATAACCCAAACTTCCCGCCTTAAAAATTGACCTTGAAACAGTTTGAAAGGCCCGCGAAAAATTTAAAAATTCAAAGTTTGGCCTTGGCTGTGATCGTCTAACAAATGAGAACCTACGTTGTGTGTTTTTTTTTTTTTGTTTTGAAAAATGGCGGGAAGAAGTTCTTTCATACAAGTGCATACACTGTCGAGAGCGCAAGAAATAATAGACAAAATTAGGAGCCTTCCTAAGGAGGAAAAAGAAACGAAGAACGACAGACGCTCGATTTGCCCTTCTGGCGAGTCCGCAGGGCCAAGGTGTCATCGGTCTTCATTCCCCAAAACCCCCTGGGGTTTTATTCACCGACATATTACATGTCAAACACCCTAAGATATGTGAAAGAAAAACACTCGCGAATTGACAGACATACACATATGAAAACCGAACGAACACAAGACCTACACATATGTAAATTGGATGGCAGAACCCGAATCATTATGAGAGTGTGGCGATCGAACAAAATATAGAGCAAAATATATCAATTTCATTTACGAGCACAGCAAAATACCCAGAGGGGGCGTTGTAGCGCAAGTGGAGGTTGGGACTCCTGATCATCACTGTTCTCCCTCACGACGGTGATTCTATCTACACCAAGGCCTGCTCACACGCACATCTCCATTACGAACGTGCCCTGCGAAACGAGGCGGTTACGATCGCAGATCCGTAGTGGGGTCCCGGCTATCACGAAACCGGCAGCGTTAAAAACCCGCGACCGCCCCCTGAAGCTATACAAAACCCGCGGACTTGTGCAGGTGACGCGATTAATCCCGTCAGTTTGAGAAGAAGTCGCGCGCCCCACGTACACTACGAGTTATGTGTTATTTACCTTCAATTTCATTTAAATGTTCAAACTCTATGACTCTAACATTAAATGACAACCGAACAAGCGTTAAAGTTTCAACAAAGAGCAATAAACCACATTTAAATTCGCCACACACTCTTACGAAAATTCAACAACAAATAATTCTTAATTGAGATCAAATTTGGACATCCGATAATTTATATGAGAGAAACATTCATCAACAAACCATTTACATGATCAAAACTTAGCAAAGATTTATAAAACAAAGATCTGGTGTGAAATAAGCTTGTACAAATTAAATATCATGTTAGGTCAAAATTGCAGAGCATGGAAATTTACGTTCAATTCAAATTATACAACAAGGAAAATTACTGAAACTGAAATTGTGAGACAAAGACAAATTGCATGAGGTGAAAGATTGTAAAGTTAACAGATTTACATGTGATTAATATTAATTCGTGTCCAGTCAAGTTATTGGTTAAAATTCAAACGTGAAATTATTTAGCTGCATTGTGGGCCATTATTACACATACATTTCCCCCAAACAAAACACATAAACAAACATGGCAGACAATCTGCAGTTGCAAAATGGCGTTGGACGAATTCGTCATTCCAAATAATAGGCGTCGAAAATATGCGATGCAAAAATACGATGAATCCTGTGGCGTTGTATAAACGATGGGCTAAATAAAAGGAATAAAGGCACGTCCCCCCATGACCCACAATGTTTGTTAATTTGTGCAATAGGTTCAGTTAAAACATGTGCTCGGTTAAAAGAAACAAATGGACGCTTCAAAATGGCCGCTGCCTGAACAAAGAACGGTGAAAATAACAATTCGTTTGCCGCCATCCAAAATACAGATTTCACAAATATAGCTAAATAAAGCATGGCCCGAAATAAAAATCACTTCCTGTAAAGCCCTACTGCGATGGATTTTAAATGAAAGATAAAAAAACGAGATTAGTGGAAAAACAAGCGCACGCGTCGCTGCGTCACGAGGTCAGAAGTATCGTCGGGACTTGAAAACTCGCGGCGAAACAGGTGTTCAAAACATACCTCTCCAAAGATGCGAAGATTTCGACACAGCTTACCGCCAACAGGAACACAAAAACCTCGTCGTAAGAACGATGAGAAATCAGGAACACCCAATGGCTCAACGGTGGCTGCTAGGTTTTCCAATGGAACTGGATCAACACTGGAAAAACAAAACACAACAGCAAAAGGCACAGAATAATTCACAATTAAAAATACAACCTGTTGCTCGAAGCGCTCGAAAAGAAGTCGACCGTTCTCTCCAAGCGATCAAAAGGAAGTGACCGTTTTCAAGACAATATCACCCTCGCTTTGCGCATCTCTGTTTCTTTGGGGTGGTTGGTTGCCAACCTCTCCTTCTTCTCACTAACCGTTTCTTGTGCGCGCGGAATTCGTTTGAAATTTTAAAAATTCGAATTGGATCCTTACAGTCGTCCCCCAGCGTTTTCGGAGCGAAGCTACGCGTAGCGACTGGAAACGCTAACCTAAAGGAAGGCCAATCGAATTTTTATCTTCTTTCTTCTGGACACGTCCCCCCGATTCCAAGTGTACCAAGACACGTTTACCTCACCAACGTGTCCTCCGGGAGTTTCCCGAAGTGTTGGGCGGAGGAAGCGAAAAGGGGTTAAAGGGTGCCTGAGCAGGCAACGCGGGGACAGGAGCGTGTGACCTGGAATCGTCGCGACGCCTGCGTCGTGGTGACCGGCGCTCACGCCTTCGATGGGGCGACCCCCTGTCAGAGTCCCCGTGGTCTCGACCGGACCCACGTCCGAGGAGGAACCCTTGAGCCCTGGCAAAACTCCTTTCCCTCGGTGGAATGGTGCTCCATGCGCTCCAGACGTCGTCCGGGAACACCCTCATGACACTGTCTATGGTGTCGAGCTCGCTGTCTGGCAACATCAGCGACTTCAAGAGCCCGTACTTGTTGATGAAATAGTCCACCATGAGTCCGTCTCGGCGGGGGTCAAAACGTCCTCGCCGGACCTCCTCAGCCACGGCCCTGCGTTGGTGTGCAGGCCAATACAACTCCACGAAGTCGTGGCGGAAGTCTTCGTAGGTGCTCCAGCTGTCTTGGCTGGCCGTCGCCCATGTCCTCGCGTCTCCCTTGAGGCACTTCAACACCTCTCCCAGCTTGCTGGAGGGGGGCGTGTGCGTCTCGGCGCAGTAATCCTCGAATTCCCGCAAGAACTCCAGCGTCTTCTTTCGCGTGCCTGAAAAAGAAGGGCGGGGCAAAGATGTCGTCGCCAATCGTCGCTCGAGGTCCAAAGCGTATCGCCTCCAGCCCCTGTCGTGGGACCTGGATCGGCTTCGCTCGTAGGACCGGTGGCGTCGTTCTTCTGGGGTCCTCTCGCGTCGCTCTCGGCGTCTGCCGCGTTCCTGGCTAGGGCTTCTCGAACGTCCTTCGGAGGAACGTTCCGGTTCCCTGCTAGGGCTTCTTCGGCTACCCTTGGAGGTCGTGGCTTGCGTGTGATCTGTCCACACGTCCGTGATCCGGAAGTCGGGGTCGTCACGGTTATCGCTGCTGCGTTCCCGTCTTTCGGCCATTTCTTCAGCTGATCACTTTGCCTGTTCTAAATCAAAACACATGAGTATTTATGCAACATTAAATGCAACCCTCAACACAGTATGCAACATTGTATCCTGGTCACGCGGCAACAAATTCTGTGATAACCCAAACTTCCCGCCTTAAAAATTGACCTTGAAACAGTTTGAAAGGCCCGCGAAAAATTTAAAAATTCAAAGTTTGGCCTTGGCTGTGATCGTCTAACAAATGAGAACCTACGTTGTGTGTTTTTTTTTTTTGTTTTGAAAAATGGCGGGAAGAAGTTCTTTCATACAAGTGCATACACTGTCGAGAGCGCAAGAAATAATAGACAAAATTAGGAGCCTTCCTAAGGAGGAAAAAGAAACGAAGAACGACAGACGCTCGATTTGCCCTTCTGGCGAGTCCGCAGGGCCAAGGTGTCATCGGTCTTCATTCCCCAAAACCCCCTGGGGTTTTATTCACCGACATATTACATGTCAAACACCCTAAGATATGTGAAAGAAAAACACTCGCGAATTGACAGACATACACATATGAAAACCGAACGAACACAAGACCTACACATATGTAAATTGGATGGCAGAACCCGAATCATTATGAGAGTGTGGCGATCGAACAAAATATAGAGCAAAATATATCAATTTCATTTACGAGCACAGCAAAATACCCAGAGGGGGCGTTGTAGCGCAAGTGGAGGTTGGGACTCCTGATCATCACTGTTCTCCCTCACGACGGTGATTCTATCTACACCAAGGCCTGCTCACACGCACATCTCCATTACGAACGTGCCCTGCGAAACGAGGCGGTTACGATCGCAGATCCGTAGTGGGGTCCCGGCTATCACGAAACCGGCAGCGTTAAAAACCCGCGACCGCCCCCTGAAGCTATACAAAACCCGCGGACTTGTGCAGGTGACGCGATTAATCCCGTCAGTTTGAGAAGAAGTCGCGCGCCCCACGTACACTACGAGTTATGTGTTATTTACCTTCAATTTCATTTAAATGTTCAAACTCTATGACTCTAACATTAAATGACAACCGAACAAGCGTTAAAGTTTCAACAAAGAGCAATAAACCACATTTAAATTCGCCACACACTCTTACGAAAATTCAACAACAAATAATTCTTAATTGAGATCAAATTTGGACATCCGATAATTTATATGAGAGAAACATTCATCAACAAACCATTTACATGATCAAAACTTAGCAAAGATTTATAAAACAAAGATCTGGTGTGAAATAAGCTTGTACAAATTAAATATCATGTTAGGTCAAAATTGCAGAGCATGGAAATTTACGTTCAATTCAAATTATACAACAAGGAAAATTACTGAAACTGAAATTGTGAGACAAAGACAAATTGCATGAGGTGAAAGATTGTAAAGTTAACAGATTTACATGTGATTAATATTAATTCGTGTCCAGTCAAGTTATTGGTTAAAATTCAAACGTGAAATTATTTAGCTGCATTGTGGGCCATTATTACACATACATTTCCCCCAAACAAAACACATAAACAAACATGGCAGACAATCTGCAGTTGCAAAATGGCGTTGGACGAATTCGTCATTCCAAATAATAGGCGTCGAAAATATGCGATGCAAAAATACGATGAATCCTGTGGCGTTGTATAAACGATGGGCTAAATAAAAGGAATAAAGGCACGTCCCCCCATGACCCACAATGTTTGTTAATTTGTGCAATAGGTTCAGTTAAAACATGTGCTCGGTTAAAAGAAACAAATGGACGCTTCAAAATGGCCGCTGCCTGAACAAAGAACGGTGAAAATAACAATTCGTTTGCCGCCATCCAAAATACAGATTTCACAAATATAGCTAAATAAAGCATGGCCCGAAATAAAAATCACTTCCTGTAAAGCCCTACTGCGATGGATTTTAAATGAAAGATAAAAAAACGAGATTAGTGGAAAAACAAGCGCACGCGTCGCTGCGTCACGAGGTCAGAAGTATCGTCGGGACTTGAAAACTCGCGGCGAAACAGGTGTTCAAAACATACCTCTCCAAAGATGCGAAGATTTCGACACAGCTTACCGCCAACAGGAACACAAAAACCTCGTCGTAAGAACGATGAGAAATCAGGAACACCCAATGGCTCAACGGTGGCTGCTAGGTTTTCCAATGGAACTGGATCAACACTGGAAAAACAAAACACAACAGCAAAAGGCACAGAATAATTCACAATTAAAAATACAACCTGTTGCTCGAAGCGCTCGAAAAGAAGTCGACCGTTCTCTCCAAGCGATCAAAAGGAAGTGACCGTTTTCAAGACAATATCACCCTCGCTTTGCGCATCTCTGTTTCTTTGGGGTGGTTGGTTGCCAACCTCTCCTTCTTCTCACTAACCGTTTCTTGTGCGCGCGGAATTCGTTTGAAATTTTAAAAATTCGAATTGGATCCTTACAAGGGCGATTGTAGAATCGGGCGAAAACTTAGGTCCCCAAGCTGCTACGCTTTTAATAACCTCTAAGCTAACTCCTGCCCTACTTGCTGACGATGTGGATGCGTGTCGAGTGCTATGAGCACCAAATTTTTGCGTGTCGACTCCACTCCTGCTAAGTGTAGTCCGTATCCACCTGGCGATGGTTTGACCTGATGCTGCTCGATGGGGTTTTTTATGGGTCAGGAATAGCTGCTGAATGGAGCCTCGTAGCGGAGCTGTAATCTTTACATAGTGTTTTAAGGTTGAGGCAACACACAACTTGGGAATGGTCTTAAAAAAGGGTAAGACTAGCTTGGGCTGCACTCTAGGTGGTGCTTTGCTCTCCACAAGCTGCCCCCCCCACCCAGTTTTTGAAGCATCTGTAAAAATTTCCATAGAAATCGAAGGAGGCACTAGTGAGTGCAAGGCTGAGGGGATTGTTGTTTGCCACCAAGTAAGCTCGCCCTGGACAATATTTGATATTCTTATGGTGCCCTCATAATTTCCTTGAGATTTTTTCAAGGCCGCGAATTTGGACTGTTCTAAGAGTTTTAAATGCAAGGGTCCGTAAGGGATAGCAGGGCAGAGAGATACTAGAGAACCCAACACTTGAGAAAAGGTTCGAATTCTACAGTGGTCCTGGCCCTTGAGAGCCATTAATCTTTTTTGCATGGTGTCAATTTTATTTAAGGACAATGTAATAGTTAAATTGGTGCTATCAAAAAAGAAACCCAAAAATTTACATTGTTGCTGGGGTATTAAGCAACCTTTGTCCTGATGAATAACAAAGCCTAAGCGTTCCAAAAGTGTGACAGTTACTCTGACATTTGTAGAACATTCAGTCCTAGAATCCGCTATTAACAACAGGTCATCCAGGTAAAATACCGAACAATAACCTCTTTCCATAAGGAAGGAACTAAGGGGTTTTAAAAGCTTCGTGAATACAAACGGTGCAGTACAGAGTCCAAAGGGTAGGCATGCAAACTGAAATAATGTTTGACCCTACTTAAAACGAAGATATTTACGAGAGCTCTTCTCTACTGGAACAATAAGGTAGGCGTCCTGCAGATCAATTGTGGCCATGAATGCATTTGAGGTCAAAAGATGTTTTACCGATCTGTAATCTTCTAACTTAAAATGGGGAGCCGTACTGAAGGTATTAAGATGTCGTAGATTTAGAATAAACCGATTGGAGCCATTTGGTTTTTTAACCAGGAAATAAGGAGAAAGAATCTCCTCTGGACAGTGTTTGCATTCTTCAATTGCTCCCTTGCTTTGTAATTCAGTGATGCATAACTGGACCATCTTTTCACCATATGTTCATTAAGACTGGTATCCTGGCTATTAGCTGTATTGGGATCGACACCCAGTAAGGAGACAAATTCTGGGTGGAGATCGAGTTCCTTTGGCAGTCTTGGTGGTGTTGTTGGTTGCTGGGGGACGTCTGTAGACTGAACAGACACAGAGGAGTCTGAATGTGTCTCGAATTCAGACTGGTCGAACTGCCCATCGGACTGCTCTGAATGAGAACTCTCTGAAAGGAGAGGGCCGTATTAATATAGCCTTCTTAATAATTGGCACTCTACATATATAGAGGCGTCAGCGATGGATTAATATAGCCTTCTTAATAATTGGCACTCTACATATATAGAGGCGGCAGCGAGGGATTAATATAGCCTTCTTAATAATTGGCACTCTACATATATAGAGGCGGCAGCGAGGGATTAATATAGCCTTCTTAATAATTGGCATTCTACATATATAGAGGCGTCAGCGAGCCACTCCGTAAAAAAGGAAGGTGGCACTGTGTGTCCCTGGCAACAAAACGTATCTACATATATAGAACGTCTAGTCCCTCTCAACGAGTCCCAGGTGATAAGAATTTTGCAAATGGAGGTTGACCTTTGTTGCACATGAGGGGTGTCCTTGGGGTGAATTTCGCTATTCTAGAAATACTGAAATAATTAGTGGTTACCGACCTGAGGAAACTGTGCCCAGCAACGTTTCGAGTTTAGTGAGCTTCTTTCGCAGCTTTGCCAATCGACACTGCTCGCCATCCCCACTCTTTTGCTGTCAAAAACAACAGCTGATTTTTGACGCTACAGGGATACTCCGTGTAGGTTAGCATGTGTTTAATACAGCGTGGTATAACAATTGTTATATTTACGACAGTGTTCTTCAGTTTTTGATGTGTTTTTGTACGAATTTTATTTAATCGACAGTTTAGTGACAATTCTGTGACAATTTAGTGTTAATTTAGTTTAATTTACTGATAAATTAGTGACAATAGCAACCAACATGTACTTGAAATTATCAACTGTGTGCAATTACTTAAGTGCAACCCCTGCTAGTAGATGTTTTGTGGAAGGTGAAAATGTTCTGGAGGCCGAGCATTTAATTTTATGTGGCACAACGCACAGAATGAATGAGGAATGGGGCCTTAAAGCTTTCTGTCTGCAAAGTAGTCACATAAAAAAGGATCCACATGAAATAACAGGGGTCATAAAAGTTGGACAGCACGTAGAAATTGAAAATTTTGTTTGCACTTGTGCAGCAGGAGCTTCGGGAAGCTGCAAACATGTAGCTGCAACGTTGCTGTTTTGCACCAGGTTGTATTTTGATTGATATTACAAATGGCATCATGAAGTCTTTAAAATTGTGTGTTTTTTTTTTCTTTTAGGAAACCAGTAAATGACTTAGAAGAACTGTCGAGTACTGATGTAGGTTGTTTGTGGAAAAACAAGAAGCCAAAACTAGAAACTAAGTATTTGCCACAACCTCTGAAAGAGACTGAATGTTGGAAACCTGTCATGGAAAGAAGACATATAACTCTTTCAAAAGAAGAGGCAGAAGAGGTTCGTACAATAGCCTCAACATCTGTGCCAATATGTGCACTTAGTTTACATAGGTAGGTTTTGTAGGTAGTGCCTAATTAAATTCACATCTACTGTGTTGTGCAGAATTGGTCGAAGGCAAGACATCGAAGAAGAGACTCTTGAAATTCCCCCATATTTAGAGAAAATTCTAAATAATTCGAAAAATTCAACATTTATGCACAGGTTAGAAATTGACTGCACTGTTAGCAATGAATGTTGCAAACAAATTATAGAATTATTTAAAGCTGACATTATTCTTAATGGACTTGTTTGCAAACAAGGTAGTCTTGAGTGGAAAGCCTTTAGAAAAAATAGAATAACAGGTAAGAAATAAATACTTTTATTTATTTATCAAAACTAATTAACATAACTTACAGGATCGACATGTCATACTGTCTACAGATTTAAAAAAAATGATTGGACAATTATGTTAAACAATTTTTTTAATAAAAAAGACGTCATGACACAAGCGATGGCCCACGGCCGAAAACATGAAGGGTCTGCACTAGTGGCATTTGCAAATCAAAATCCCACTTACAGTGTCAAAACAATGGGAATTTTGATTTGTAAAAAGTATCCCTGGTTGGCATACTCCCCTGACGGGATTGTTTTTGAAAATGAGGAACCAACCAGACTTGTGGAAATTAAGTGCCCTTTTTGGGTAAGTGGTTTAATTTTTTTCGTTATTTAAAGTTAATGGAAATTTCTTACAGGAAAAACTAAATCCATCCAAGAAGTTCTAACTGAAAATCGGTTAATGTAATGATGACCTAACATTAAAAGAGTCGCATGCTTATTATTCCCAAATACAATTGGGAATGGCCATTTTAAATTTAAAAATTTGTGATTTTATAATATTTTGTTCGAAAGATGAAAGTTATTTACAAATTATTATACCATTTAACGAAAATTTCGCAGGTATGTTAATGGATAAAATTTGTAAAAAATATTTCAGCAATATGGTACATTATGTTTGTGGAGGAAAAAAAATCCAATAAAGGTGTAGAATTTTATTTACTCTAGTAATTCCAAGTGCATTACCATTATGAGGAAATTAAAAAATATATAGTTAGGATGTAATAATATACTTAATTTTTTTGTAATCTTATTTTTTTAAAAATAAATCATCTCGCATTACAGGCTTACTTAGGTTTACGATCGCACAAATTACTATAAAAATATCATCAACAATTGAAAGTAAATGCACTGCTAACGTATTTTTCAATATCCTAAAAACTTTAATTCGTGCATTTACTCTTTCTATGTGGACTCGAGCTGCAGCAATGCTTTTACTTTCAAGAGCCTCTGCTTTATTGAATTGCTTTTTATTTCTTAAAAATGGAGGTCTTACAATTCCAATTCCACGATCTTCGCAAAACTGTTCGATTAAAAACCCTTTATCCACCATTATTTGGTCCACATATGGTTCAAGTTTTTCAATGAGATTTGATTGTTCGAAAATACTCTTGTCAGATGCTCTACCACCGTACGCGGGACTGACATAACTGATAAGACCAGCAGGAGTAACTCCTGTCATGAACTTTACTGTATTGGATTTTTTGTAATTGGAATATAATTTTATTCTACAACATAGTTTCTTTGGTGCTTGCACATGAACCTTGGTACAATCTAACACAATTCGTACTTTTTGGTACTTTTTAAAACACATAGGTATATTTTGTAACACATTCTCTTTAGGTGGTAAGTAAATAAGTTCTTTCATAATATCAGCCAAAATCTGTACAGTTTCAGAAAAAATTCGTTTTATTGATGTTACTGATATATCACCAAATAAAATCCCAAGAGCTGAATAAGTCAAGTCTAACTTTAACTTCATAAAGACCAATAAAATACGGTGTTTAATACTTAAACGATGAGAACGAACATCTTTTTTAAATTTAGAAAGTAAATGAATTAAAAGATACAGAACATTAAATGATGGAATTCCGGTTAAAATACTTAACGCCTTATTATTATTGATAATAAAATCAGCTACCGAAAACCAAGAAGTGTTCACTTGAACACTGGTATCTTTCATAGGTTTAGTATTATCCCAAAAACTACTTTCTTCAGTCTGTGTGGAACAATCTTGGAAATGTTTAGTAATCACTGGAAAAGTACAATTCTCATTGTCAGTCACTCCAAGTGGGGCTTCTTTGAGACTCAACAATGCTTCAGCTGCATCATTCCTTTTAAATGAATTTTCAGCCTCAATACCAGCCTCATTGAGTTCTTGCACAGTTATATCCTAAAAAATGTATTTATTTTCTACCGATCATTTTAAAAAATTGCCTTCTCTACATACCAATTTTCTTCTTTTGTTAAGTCGTTCTACCCTTTCTTCTGATTTTTTTTTTGACCTTTCACTATAAACACTCCTTTCTGGCAACTGTTGAGTAGGGACTGCGGTTTTCTTTAAAAATCGCCTAGTGTAACAATCTAAAATTAAAGTGAAAACCTCTGTACGCATTTTGTAAATATTTCTAGGTTATACCTTCATCAGGAGTAATGTAATCTGCACTGGTAAAGTGCCGGGAACACACATACATGTACGGTGTTACGCTTTTGCCCATTTTTAAATTCAATTCCCAAAGTTTTCGTCTATCAGTCAAAGTTACTTCACCAATTCCAGAAGTATGTCTTACTTTTTGTCCCAGAGGTGGAAATTTATGAAATGAGAGTTCAGGATTCTTTTTATTGACACTATTGCACTTATAAACGCAGCAGTTTACATTAGATTTACTGCTTTTACGGCGTGAATGCACAGATTTCAACACAACACTCATTTTTTATAGTAAATTACCACACAACTAGTACTGCGTACGTTGATTTATCCCTGTAGGATTAACGCCACATTTTCACGGCAGAGGGCGAATCGCTTAGCGCAAACAGTCACAGGCCGAGTCCGTATAGGGAATTTTGTTCTGAGCTGTCAACTAGTGCACTAACACCCGCCAGTGGCGTAACTACAAAGTGGTCTACAAGACGTAACTACGAAATATAATCAATAAAAACGTCTGCCGTGATAAATATGATATTCTAAGACTACAAGAAACAAAATATGTTAATGGCAGACTTGGTCAAAATTAGTTTGAAAATTTTATATTTTTTGGCACTTTCAAAATTGTCTGCCACGATGTTAGACGCGTGATAATGGTCTGCCATGGTTACTTTTTAATAAAAATAAAGATATATTTTAAAATTTCCAAATGGCAGACATGGTCAAATGCATTTAAAATTAGTCATTTTTTGATACCTGGCGTACCTGAGCCCCAGCTGCGCCAGCCGCGCTGGGCTTAGTGAGTCCCCGCCCCTTGTATGTTGGATCGAGGAGACTCTCTGTACAAAATTCGAGGTCTGGTCAATTACATACAGGTAGCCGGCCACTGGCTCTTAGACTATTACTATGGAGTTAATAAAGTCAGTTTAAATTGTCAAAATGGAATAATAAATATTATTCCATTTTGACGAATTTTATTAATAAAATTTCAATAAATAAAAATTCGAATCGAGAAATCGTGTAAACTGCGAAACTAATTTTCGTGACAACCAGCTTAACAACCAGTTGTTTACATTTTTCTAAATTTGTGACACTGGCGGCATTTGTGTTTTCCTAGACAAAAATGTCTGGAATTTTGGAAGATAAAGACGAAAACGAAGTGTTTGTACCCTCAGCAGTCCTAGACGAAGCTTTGGAAGCTATCAATAAGGTGGTGCCAGCAAAATCCAAGCATTCATATGAAAAAGAGTATACGAATTTTTGTGAATAGAGGAAACGAAAGCATGCAAAAGGAGTAGATGAAAGAATAATTTTGGCTTATATTTCGGAACAGTCAAAAAATGCTAAATCTTCATCACTATGGTCGTATTATTCCCAACTGAAGAAGATGTTATCTGTGAAGGAAAATATTGATATAAGCAGGTTTGTGACATCGCAATGATTAATATAAGGTTTAAAATATTCATTATTATAGATTTCATCAAGTGTCAGCTTTTCTAAAACAACAGTCTGTAGGGCGCAGACCAAAGAAATCGAAAGTGTTCACGCTCGAAGAAATGGAAAGGTTTTTAGATAATGCTTCTGATGATGAATATTTACTGCAAAAAGTAATTTTTGTCGTGGGAGTTTTTGGAGGATGTAGAATGGGTGAATTGGTGGCCATGTCAGTTGATGATGTTGAAGACAGGGGTAGCGTACTTGTAGTCCAAATTCCAAACACGAAGACATTATTTTGCCCATTCATCGGAAATTTGATATAAATTTTAATAATTTGAATAATTGTAACTTTTATATTTCACACTACAATGACAAAGACTAATTCAATGTTAATATTTTTGGAGAAGAAATAAAAATATGTTCTTAATTGAAATTTTTTAATTCACTGAACGCTTTGATTCTACTAGTGAATTCAAACGCTTTGATTTCACTAGTGAATCATGAACTCCTTATGAAGGTTACTACGGAGTTAATAAAGTCAGTTTAAATTGTCAAAATGGAATAATAGTAATTATATACCAAGGGAGAGAAAACAATTTTTATAGCCGAGCTGAATTATACCCGAGACGCGTAGCGTCGAGGGTAATAATGAAAGCGAGGCTATAAAATGGTTCTCTCCCGTGGTTTATATATTATTTTTTTCACTACTAGCACATTTGTTTAACTTTTCTTTAATGACAATGTATAAAAGTCGGAACGAATTTAAGATATCCATGAAAATCAAATAGCCTGTGAAAACAAATGAATAAAAATGACATTAAACCAAAAATCTTAATAAAGAGCAAAATGTCGACTAGCGACGAAGATACTAGTGTGTGCACCCCGCCAGAAATCCGAAAAGAAGCAAGTAACGTGCAGTGTGATCAATTACTGCCACAAAAATCAAAAGAGTTCTACTTAAAAGTTTACGCACAATTCAAAGATTGGTGCAAAATTAAAAAAGTGGCCAAAGTGTCAGAAAATGTCCTTCTTGTTTATATGGAAGAAAAAGCTAAAAACAAAAAAGCTTCCAGTCTATGGGCCACATTTTCTATGTTAAAACAAACTCTTAAATTAAAAGAAAATGTGGATATTTCAAAATATTATAAAGTAATTGCTTTTCTCAAACGCAAAAATGATTCCTACACACCCAAAAAGGCGGCTGTTTTTGAGAAGCATCAAATCACAAAATTTATTTTAGAAGCACCTGATGAAATTTTTCTTTCGTCTAAGGTAATTCTGTTAATTGACAATGAGATTTTAAAAAACGCCAAATTACATTTGCTTCCAGGTTATTCTCATTATAGGAATTGCAGGAGCTTGTCGGACAGATGAGCTCTGCAACATGAAAATGACAGATGTAGATACACGAGAGGATATGATAGTCATAAATATCCCTCAAACAAAAACAAAATCTTCTCGAAAATTTGTCATTATGGAGCCCACCTGGATTGATGTGGTTAAAAAATACTTGACAAAAAGGCCGTCTCCTGATATGGCAAGGCTTTTCATTGGGTTTAGAGGTGGAAAACCGACTAGACAAAACATGGGACATAATACGATAAGCAAGACACCTTATAAAATAGCTCAATACCTACAACTGCCAAATGTCGACGAATTTACTGGCCATACATTGAGGCGAACATCAGCGACTATTTTGGCTGATATGGGTGGGGACATATTATCACTCAAACGCCATGGGGGCTGGAAAAGCTCAATGGTTGCTGAAGGGTATGTTGAGGAGTCTCTCACTGACAAAAGAAGAATTGCAAATATAATTCAGGGAACACCTCATCACATTAACCTACCTGCTCCTAGCTCTTCCAATATTTTATGTGAGAGGAGTGAAGAAGTGTGCAGTGAAATGCCATCTACTTCCACACATGCTGCTACAAACAGTGAAATAACTATACCGGTGGAGAACTTTACCTCCAATCGCAATACATCGGGAATCAATATGACGTGCCACAACTGCACAATTAACTATTATTTCAAATAATTATAGTTGAGGTGTTAATCTTTAGTTACTTTGTTGTTAATACTTATTATTCTCAATTTTTTAATAAACATTTGTCTTTCGAATAACACAATATTATTTCTACATTAACATTTTCATTATTTATTATAAAAATACTACTTCTTAACAGATTACACAAATTAGAGGTTAAAAATGTCGCGTGCTCGTAAGAATAACTGCAATAGATTTTTCATGGTTGCTCTGGTGGCATTCTTGCTGGAGTGTGGTCCAGGCGGCAAATTTAAGATTTCGCAAGAAATTTCAGCTTCCCAGTTCTACATCATCTGTCATTAATAAACAATGTATAAAATGTGGCAGCTTAATGTCAAGTAAACACCTCAACTACGACATTCTAAGGTAACCATGGCAATACTGTCAATTATTTTCATTATCTACTAGTAGGAGAGAAAAATCCATTATTGGGTAAGGTGGAGAACAGTAATTTCTCAAGCATCAAACACGATATATAATGAAGTCTTCTGAGGCTAGTAGTGAAAAAAAATTTTTAAAGGAACTATGAAACGTAATATGAGTCATGTAAAATACTTTAAATTCACCATTACTTAGAAGGTTTTGTTGTGAAAAAAGTATGTCAAAAAAAAATAATTTAGAGGTATTAGGTTGTGAATTAACTGGTAATTCGCATCAAATTAAAAAGTTAACCTCAGTTTGTTCAAATTTTAATTTCTCAGAACGCGCAACTAGTAATATGATGATATCGTAGAATTCTTTTTTATTTAAGATGTTGTAAAACTGTACTGATTAAGACATCTGGTATGTTTCTATCTCTGTATTCGTCCGACACACCGTAATGAATACCCGCACTTCTTACCATTCTAGGGGTGGAAACGAATACCTGCTTAAATATAGTGTGTCCAACGAAGACAGAAACATACGTCTTTAAAACATCTTGAGATAATTAAAGGAATTCTGCTACACTTTCCCTGCGAAGTCGAAGCAAGTTCGAATACTTACAGTCAGAAGAAATCATATATAACAAAAAAAGTAACAAGTTAATAAAGACTAATGCTAAGAGCTTGAAAAATGTTTTCCGGTGCCTTCGTATTGTACGTGTTACACAAAGAAATTTATTACGTAGTCATATTGTAGTGAGCATTGAAGCAGCAAACTTAATTGACTCCGTTTTATCCATGAAGGGTCCCTGAAGTGTAATCCGGGTCAAATTTAATCTAATCTTCTAGTTACCGCGGTTATTACAGTTGATTTAACTCACGTTTTTTGTATTTAGTTTTGCCTGTGAGTGGTTTATCAGTATAAAATGCTGGGTAATCTGAACATTTGTCGCTACTTAATACTATTACCTATGCTTAAAGTGAAGTGCTATTATTATGAGGAACAGAAACCTATTTATTTAACGGCGGCCGTAGGCGATTATGTTATATTTAACTGCAACATTGACTTTCCACAAAATATTCCCATACCGTATATGCTAAACTGGAAAAAGGATGTAAGTTTTCTATGTCTCTATTTATACGTAGGCCCTACTTAATCTATAATCGTTGCAATTTATTTATAGATTTTTTTTCTTAGTTTACTATGGCAAAACTTCATTAATTTAAATTTAAATTATATTTAATTATATGTAATTATTTTACAAGGGACTAATAATATTAAGAGTTGATGTTTACCATCTGCCTTGTCTAACCGCCCGTTTTTTAAGAGCACAATATTATGTGAGCTTACTTTCCCAGATACTTTTGACTTCAGAAATATATGTCTGCATTTAATAGTTATTTCTGATTTTTCTACAGATGCCTCGGTTAAATCAGTGACTGAATCAGACAGCAAACGAGAAACATGTTTCTTTGAACAAGCGGTACCAGTTCTTTAGAAATAACCGACAAAGAATTTATGATTTTAGGAGCCTTTTGTTAATTTATTTTTCAAGAAATGCGGTAAAATATTAAAGCTGTGAAAACAGGCAGTAAGAGAACATAAATTATGTGGGTAGTCGACTTGTGTGGACCTAAAATTGCGCAAAGAAATACGCAAATGCGCGATGCTATTTCTATTCACGAAAGAGTAATGGTAACATTACGATTTTTTGTATCAGGTACATATGTAAAAGTTTATGTAAATCATTGAACAAAATAAGTTGTTCTCCATAAGTTATGTCACGCAGATTTTGTGGTTTTTGAACCCTTCTTTTCTGTGTCACAGGTTGTCACATTCATAATTATGATCCCACCCTCTATTATAATATCATATAATTTTAATGTAGAGTTGATTTTGATTAAATCAACATTGCCTCTTATTTAATACTAGCTGACCCCGTGAACTTCGTTTCACCTATAATTTAATTTTGAATCTGCAAAACCGAATGCTTTGAAATCTTGCAAATGTTTTAAACATATGATAAGCATAATAAATTTTTGTTCAAAATCTATTTACGTATCCCCTCCAAAAAATTGATGACGTCAGCCCAAAATTTTGCCAAATGAATCCTATCTAAAATGTCCAAAATAGGATGAGACTAGACTTGTGATTTATCATTCCATTCATATTTTTTAGTTTTGCTTATAGGGGGTGTCTCAAAAAAATTAATCACTGAGTCAATTTATTTTATTGATTGAATCAAGAATTGCAAGACTGAATTTTGAAATATTGCAGACGTTTGGAAGTTACTGTTTGACATGGTACGTTTTTAATCAAAATATATCTGTTTATCAAGCCCAAAAACTTGATGACTTCATCTCAAGATTTTGTCGAATAAATCCTATCTAAATTGTGCAAAATATCATCAGTATATTTTCGTAATTTATCATTGCATTCATATTTTTTGTCTTTGCTTTTACAGTGACTGAAAAAAATATTTGGATCAGTCAATTTATTTTAGTGAATAACTCAAGAGTTGCAGAAATGAATACTTTGAGATCTTGCAGACGTTTTAAAGTTATTGTAAGCATGGTAAATTGTTAAGAATATTTATTTATTCCCCCCAAAAAATTGATGGAATGGCTCACTCGATTTTCGCAGATAATTTTGGGAATACAATATAGTTATTTTTAGTAATACACTGCACAAATCCTAGGTGGTATACGTGTTGATGGTAAATGTTGATTAGGTCATCACAAAATTGTGTGAAGAAAATGCTGAATATGTTTCATACTTTTGGTGAGAAGGAAGTTCTGTCGAAACAACGTTCGATCAATTTTTTGACAATGGTTGATATAAATAAAACTCAGTAGATGGTCATACTCGAAATACGAAGTATTTACTCGAATATCATATCAACATATTTCTAGTTTTTCTAAATGATGCTAATACTTCAGTAGGTAACAGTTGATGTTCAAGTATCACCGTGATACAACAAAAAAGGAAAACACTGACAGTGTTCAACCATAAGTTAGTATGGGGTAGACACCTTGAGATGGGAATCTCTATGGCCAGTGTTAGAAAAAACGCACTGCACAATTTATGCATAAATAAAAGGTAACTATCTGAAAAGTTGTCGATATTCCCGCTCCTAATGTGTTTTTCAAACTGAATGCACCTCTTGACGACGTTCCGCGTTCATGAAAGTCGCCATGTTTAGTTAAAATTCACTTTTACAATTATCCTGCTCGTTTTCTAGGCTTCTCAATTATTTGCCACGCCGATGCTAATTTTTAGATTAAATGCTCACAAAACGCGTAGATGTTCAATTTGTGTCCGGGGAGATACAGTGTTTCCAAGCAGGTACTCAGTACATAGAGCATGGCCGACTAGTATAAAGATTATGGCCTGTCCAAGAGGTACCATACGTGTTGCCATCTGTTAATAATTACACTTAATAATTTAGCAAAATTTTAATTTGATTTGACATTATGAAACTTCAAAACGTGTAATGGTCGTTTGTTTCGGTATGAATGCCTTTGTACCTTTCAAAAAGTGTTAATAATTCTTTTGTCGTTTTTGAATTATTAATAGATGGCAGCACGTATGGTACCTGGACAGGCCATAATCTTTATACTAGTAGGCCATGCATAGAGTAGATGCTCAGGTATGTAAGAGTAATAATGAAGTAGGTACTTTGTACTTCGAATATGAGTATCTACTCAGCTGTATTCATACCACCAAATGTCTCGCTTCAATGTTTGATTATGTTGATTATGAGCACAACGCTGATCAACTTCCATATCCGAATTACTCATGAAACAAATCATTGCGGTTTGCACCTGAGGTAGTTCGTCGCACATTTGATTGACTTCGTGGACCTATGTCAGCTTGTCGTCTTCTCGGCATTGTAATGAACTTCATAAAACGACACAATTATTTTCACAGTCAATCAAATCTGTAAATTTTGTCTTGAGAATTTTAAAATACTGAAAACTTCAAATTAAATCCTCGAATAACGGTAAAGTTTGAGGTTTTGTCGAAACCAACAATGTGAATATAGGTAAATAGAATGGCAGATCAAAATTAATAAGACACTTTCGCAATGTGTAAGTGAATTCACTTTAACCAAAACTTTTCTTAAAATAAACGACGTTTTTTTTTACGAAAAAACAAAGAACGATTTGAAATGCAATATACTTTTCACAATCGCAGAATAGTTTTGTATGACACGTCAGTTAGACGACAGGTCCGTCAGGAACGCCAACTATTGAAATTAATTCGAAGTGGCGATTCCCATACAAAATTTTTAGAATTTTTTTTTTAGACTTTTCCAGGCAAATTTTTAAATTTTTCTCTCCGTAAGAACCATCCTCGTACTTCAACGAATATTTGAAAACAAAAGTTAGCCGAAACGGTTGAGTCGTTCTCGAGTTATGCGCTTAGCAACACATTTAGCGATCCATTTTTATATATAGGTAAGATTATGTAAAATCTTCTTTCCAAATATCTCTTAAAAATGTAAAAAATTGGTCGAAAGTTGTTTTGGCAGAACTTCCCTAGCACCGAGAAAACAATGAAACATATCTTAACATTTTCGAGTTGAGTTTTTTCTTTACACAATTTTGTGATGACGTCATCAACATTTTTACAAGGACACGTATATCAACTTGGATTGGTGCAGTATAATACTAAAAATAACAGTAGATGAATATGAATATGAATGCAGTCATAAATCACAACTAAAAACTCAATATATTTTGCACATTTTGGATAGAATTTATTCTGAAAAATTTTGAGATGACGTCTTCAAGTTTTTGTTGGGAATAAACAGATATATTTTGATTAACAATTTACCACGCTTACAATAACCTTAAAACGTCTAGAAGATTTCAAAGTATTCAGTTTTGCAATTTTTGTGTTATTCAGTAAAATAAATTCACGCATTCATTAATTTTTTTGAGTCACCCTGTATAAGCAAATCTAAAAAATATGAATACAATAATAAATTACAACCATTAGACTGATCATATGTATTTTGCACATTTCGGGTGGAATTTATTCGGAAAAATTTTGAACTGACGTTATCAATTTTTTGGAGGGGATAAGCAAATACATTTTGATTCAAAATTTATTATGCTTATCATAACTTTAAAACATCTGTAAGATTCAAATTTAAATTGCAAAATGTTGTTTTATGTTTTTGTTTGTTTTTTCAAAAATCTGGAATCGGCCCAGTACTTTCGGAGATTATCTGTTTGATAAAAACCGGGACGGCAGATAGACGGACAGACAGACAGACGGGAACGGGAGACTTATTTCTTCGTACTCTAGGGGTCATGAAAGGTCGAGAAAACGTAAAAGTGGAGAATCGGCTGACGGAAATAATAATGTTTGAAAATTGTAATATTTTAGTTTTGTTTTTTATAAACACTCGGCATATTAAAATTTAATTTAATTGATACCACAGTAAAGCACGTACTTTTGTTTACCTCCCCATAAAATATTATTACACAGATTTTAAAATCAATACGATTGCGATTTTTTTCGTGAACCGCTTCATTACAAAAATTTTTTAGAAAATTTAAATTAGGCATTCTATTTAAAAAAGTACGTTGGATATTACGCCTCAAAAACAGAACATTCTGTATGGTTGAAAATAATTTTATTGTTAGCTACGCGATTTCTATAGTCGTTTTTTTTCATATCGTGCAATTAGTGCTGCAGTTTGGTCTTTTGACCACCCAAATTTGGCCATGGCAAAACTCACCACTCGCGGATAGCACTGTAGGAGTTCGAAACGTGTTCGTATTGTGAAAGTCTCTCCAGAGAGGCACAGCTTTGATTATCAACTAGAGCCCAAGTTCTAGCAAATTTGCTACCCTGTCCACTGCTCGGCTACATTAGCGAATAACTTTTTTAGCACACATGGGATCTATGGGGACCTTTGGCACTTTATTTCTACTGGTGTACCCAAGGTATGTACCAAAATTCAGCTCTGTCGGAATTTCTGTTATTTGATCACTATTTTTATGTCTATTTTGACCGGATTAAGATGTGGGGAGATTTATTTTCCCGATGTTTATTCTAATAATGTTTTTTCAATTTTATATTGTCAATTATCTTTTTAGT